TGGCAGCATCATTGTGTGGTAATTATTTTCTTCTGCACAAAAGCTGGTCAGTTTTCTTGGAGATTTAGATGGAGCTCAGTTATATAGAGGTGCGTTGAAGGTAAACCTGTTAGAGGCAATAAAAGAAGTCAGAAGTGACTTTGTTTATTGTCATAAAAGATCTCTAAAAACAAGATCTTTAGAGAAATCATTAAGATCAAACCATATTCATACATTAGAATGGCGAAGTCAAAGTCCAGAGATAAATTTGTATGAGAATACGATTATTCTCTTGCAAGCTGCCGTCGATTCAGTTTTGCTTACTTGAAGCTATTGTTCAACAAGAAGTAGGAAAATAATTCCCTTTTTATAAAGTCTGCATAATTTTGCACTGTATTCCATTAACTATTCAGAATTTCTAGTTATCAGAAATGACAGAGACAGGTCCTCATGGCTGACAGGTGTGCAAAAATGTTTCTCCCTGATATGGTTTAATGAGATAGAAGTTTCTGTTGCCAACTGAGACAGGACGCAATTCTGTCCTGGGACTTAAATAAGATAAACCTGCTAACCTAGTTGACACTAATCTCAGAGAGGCTCACCTTTTCATCCTCTGGATATACACACACACACTCTGTCTCTCTCTCTCTCTTACACACACAATCGCACCCGCACATACATTTCTATTACTACCCATACTAGGACTTTATATTGACATCCATCTCTTTTAGTAAATGCATTTTTTCCTGACTCAGACATTTTCTCTAACCCTAACAATCCTAGTATATATTTAACTCTAACCTCAACCAAAATCGAATTAACAACAATATTGCTTTTATCATTGCCTCTTATATGTATTTAGCAATATATTCTTATATGTCTATTTATTCCAGCTTCTTCTTTTTTAATTGCATGAGAAATATTTTTACATATGAACATATCTCTATGGCTGTATTTTTTTAAATAGTCACACTTATAGTTTTTCTCCATTTTTTCTGTGTGATCTGTAGCCAAGCAATGACATTTTGTTGCCAAATGAGATGTGTTTTTGTGCAGTGATGATAAAATTAGACTAACTGTCTCTTCTGACCCTAAACAGGATATCAGAACCAGGCCTTGGTCCCACAAGAAAAAGTCAGTGCCCACAATGTGGTATGTGTTAGCAGAATGGTCCTTATAATGTATCAAATGCAAGGACACACACACACACACACACACACACACACACACACACACACACACACACACACACACACACACACACACACACACACACACACACACGTGTAAGATACCTTTCTTTCTTCACAAGGAATTGACTTTCATTCATTTTTTATTCATTTTCAGTAGCCTAACCCCATTGAAAATGTCCAACCACAATCAAACCAAGCTTGACATTGCTCTCAAGCATGATCTATGCCAAAACCCGCAAATGCATTTAAACAGTATTAGGACAAAACTTTGGTCCCAACTGGGACCAATGGTCTGCAACGATTGGTGACTATATCAAGGAATGTCCTCAGTTAGTTCATAAAAACCAGGTGCACATATATTTTAGAAATCTTTGTTTTTAATCATTATCTAATCTTTGTTTCACATTCCCATAATACATTTTTCTCTTTCACCTAATTTCTACTGAATCTTCCCTGCTCTACTTCTAATCTTCTAAAGGATTCGTGACGGATTCAAATCCAGCCAGCTGTTTCAGATTCACAACTTTCCACACTGATACTGTCAGCTGAGGTATAACTTTACAAGAGTCAATAAATCTTCAGACAAATCACCCCTGGACAGTGTTCTTGACTGACTTTCCCATTTTTCATTTTATATTAGTAAACTTTCCCCACAAGTTGTTAAATGCAGAAAAACACTTAACAGGTGCAACCTTAAAATCAATATGGCAAAATCTATTGCTGTTTTTTTATGCAAATATTTTAATCATATTTTAATTTCACACCTTTTATATTGAAAATTGGCATTAAAGTTTCAAGTTTCTTATGTAGTTAGGGGGTTTATTGTAGAATGTTCAATGTTAGACTGTTTTTAATGTCTACCATAAGTAGTCACACATTCAGTTAGGCTAATCACAGACCAGAGTTTTGAAAGTTCAATGTCGGAGTAAAAAAATTAAGGCCATACGTTTTTATTTTTATGATTTATCGTGGGGTAAAGGGACACTGGAAGGTTTGTTGACAGTATTCTGGTGCAGTCTGCTCAGTGGTAACCCAAATATTTAACAAAAGTTTTAAAACATGATCATGTAAAAATGTTTCTATTACTAGGTTTTCAAAGACCAAGCCACACAGAAAACCAAAGCAGTGAGTTGGCCTGACTATGTTCATCACTCCTCGCCACCAGGCTGTGCTGAAGTCTGACTGGGACATACTTTGGTGAAGGCGCCCTCTTAACAGCTCCCCTTTATTCCATAAAATCTTTCATCTGGAAAAAATTCTTCACAGAAGAAAAAAAAAAGAAGAGAGAGCCTGGAAAACAGGAGAGAAATCCTGTGAAGCCAGGCACTCTCCGATCTCTGGCGTGGAAAAGCCATTAGAGAACAGAGGAGCTTCCAGACAACAAGGGGAAACGGGGGAACTGCAGGATGAGTTGCAGAAATGCGGTTATGCTTTCATGTGAAGGTAAACAGGTAATTATGAAGACGTTCCCTGACAGACTGGTGAGATTTACAGTAGCTCTCTCCCTGTGCCAGCTAGCAGCTGCGGTGAGACTCTTTCACAACTTTAAATCAAAAGCTCCTCTGAAATTAAGAGGGCCTCGCCATTTTATGCTGCATCTTAAAATTAAGGAGCAGAGATTTAGGCTTATTGGCGCCTTCACATCAATGTGTTTTTTTAAGGGACACCACAAATAGGACAATATATTTAGAGAGGATTAAGTGCTGTCATGGTGGGAATTAAAACTAAGACTCGCAGAATCAATCAGATTCAAACTAAGGCCGGGAGATTTATCAATAAACAGCTAACTATAACAGCTGTGACTCGATGAAGGTTTGCATTTGGCTAATGGAATTCCAGGTTTGGATTATACCAATCCTTTGGTGATAAAGCAAGTATGAGTAGCCTTCACAAGCCCCCATTAACCCATCTAAGCCCACCAGTCAAGCATAAAGGCAACAGGGTGAGGGAAGTATGTCTGATAATGTCAGCGTATCGTACTTTAATGAATCCAAACTAACCTTGTAAACAGGTATGTGTTTGTGTTGGGAGGCTACAAAGAGTGAGATATTATTCAATTTTAGCAGGAAATGAATGTTTCTGCCATTATCTTCCCGACTGAAGCATCTACTGAGAGTGATCGATATCAAGCATTTAATGTCAGAGTTAACATCTGACATGAGAGCAAAGCTGTGTCAATGGCTGTGCTAAAATTGTGATACACCAAGTTAACACAATTTTACTTAGAGTGTAAAACAGTTTTACACTCCAAGTAAAACAGAGTGTCAAAAATAAAGTTTTTGACACTATTTTTATTTGACCAACACTTTGACTAGAAACACTACACATTCCATTCTCGGTAGATTTCTCACAGGAAGAGTTTTGGTGACTGATCTCTTCCCACCTCTGTTTCCCATGCAATAAAAGGTCTACAGGGTAAAATACTACTCAGTGTAAATATGTCACTGGTCTAACAGTCTTCAGATGAATTATTAGCTTTTGAGATTGGAGTTCTTTTCTGGATGGACTAGACTTTACGTTTGGCCTTTGACACCAGCTAATTTACATGTATGCTTAATATAGTATATTCCAAGAGTTGCACTTCACTTCAGAAAATGCCTTGAGAAAGTTTTTGAAACATTCAGTGCTGTTGAGAAGAAAGTGGAGTCTATGAACTTTCTCTGATGTTTTTCTCATAAGTGTCTCCTAAAGGTTATGGTTAATCATTGTAATGAAGCCAATAGCACTTTATTCAACTTTTCACAGAATATCCCTTTGTTTCATCTTTTCTTTCCTTTACAGTACAATAAAAAAATTCAATAACAATAATAGTCATTGTTTTAAAGACATGGGTCATGGTGAGCAAATGTTCAGTAACAATGTATTTTCTTCTTTAAAGGGCTATAAGTGTCTGCTTCCAAACAGCGTTCTCCTTTTCAAGCCTGTGTGGTTTTGGAAAAGGATGGCTTCCCAGCTTTCTTCTGTGAAACAACGCATCCAAACCGGCGTGAACTGGCAGCAGTTGTTAAACCCATCCCACCTGGCTCTACTGGTGGTTAAGAGACTCACTCCAAGAGAAACTCTGAAACCATGTGAAGATAAAAGATAAAAGCTACAGTCTTTTGTTCAGTACCAAAGTGTGTCCAGACTTCAGAGGAGCCACGTTAAAAACACTCCATTTCCATTTGCAGATGCCTGTTACAGGCAAACTTGAAACACATGAACGTGGTCTTTAAGCATTTTTTTGTTGGGAAAAGAAAGGGCCAGTAGGAAAAAGCCATACACAACAACTGCCTCGCATGGCCAGCGAGTGTGGATTGGCCAGTCGCTCCTCTAATGACTCAGGTAATAAGCTTCAAATAAGGCTTATGTGGAGTAATGTCATTATCACATCTTCTATATTTAGAACGGTGTCACGCTGTGAGTCGCGTTCTCGATGTGCGTTTTCTCCTCCGGAGCCGTTTGGATCTAGGACAGGTTGTCATGTGACTTGAGTGACTGACAGTTTTATTTCAGCCAGCCAGGGATCCAGGAGGCAGTTGGACCGGGCCACGCGGCGGGCCTGAGTGCTGATCTCTGCTCAGACCGCTGATTTGCTGTATGTGGATGCTGCCTGAGTGGCTGTTGAAAGAGAATTTGATGAGCTCTACTCTTTTTTGGGGGTCCATCTAAATCCCTCCACATTGAACAACAGCTTTTTCTGGCTTTCAGCGTGGCCAGTTCTGGACTGAGTTCTGGCTGGGCCTTTTGGACCCCGAGGGCCAATGTGTGGATTTGAGAGAGCCCACCTGAACGTCATTGCGCGTTGGCGGACGGATTTAGATTCAAACAGATGAGTCATGGAAGCCGTTATGAACCTGGTTTTCATATTATTTCTTTTTTATTGAATAAAACATCTTTAGTTTGTTTTCTGTTTTTTTTTTAACCAACTGAACACGACATAACAAAAAAAAAGAACCATCTATCAAGAACATATCCTTTTGAAGCCCGATCACAGATTCAAAAGCACCGCAACATCTGCAGTGTCTGATACATTTATAAGAAGTACAATCATAAAAAATATACATACAAGACAAGATTTTTTTTTTTTCAGAATATGTGGTTTTTGTAAAAGTCTGCGGAAAATCCGAAACAAAAACTCGAGACCCACGATCTCTAACACAAGAGGTGACAGGCAGACTGGAGCTAGCTGGCTAATTAGCTGTCAGGACTTCATTAAGTGCAGATCGACAAACATCACCTGTACAATCTACCAACAAGGGCGCTGAAGACTGAGGTGTGTTTTCACAGTCAACGTAAAAGTGATGCGTTGGTGGGGAAACCTGCGGCTCTGTGGCGAACCCTAACAGTTTTCACATTCTACCTGCCATTTCCAAAAGCTGCAGTGCAGTTTATGTTTTGAGGTGAAGTGAACAATTGTCTCTCTCCCACTCTCTACTTAAAGACACAGCTCTAAAAAATAAATATATACATAGAGATGTATAGAGGTTTTGTCAAAATGGACAAAAAATGAACACCAAAAAGAACACTGATGAACACCAAATAAGGCAACCTAAGAAACACAGGTTGCAACTTGAAATCTCCTGTGGCTGGTATGTGGATTTCTGTCTCCAGACTCGTTTCTCTCTCTCTTTCTCTTTTCTTATTAACATTCATTGAAACAGAGCAAGTGCTGGAAATAGACCATTTTTGTTTTTGCCGTAAAGGTTGCAAGCTGCTACAAGTTGAAATATAAGCATGAATGTAACACGTTCGCTACAGCAACGCACGCTAGCCCTAAAGAGATAAAACCCCATCACCAGCTGCACCCATCTCTCCAGACTGATCACTCTTCCCCTTCTTTGCTTCCTGTCTCTCCTCCGCTTCTACCCCTCCGTCTTCAATCGGATCAGCGCTCCCATGAGCACACTGTTAAACTTTAGGGGTGCGGCTTAAAGTGCTTGGCACTGAACACTGAACCCTGAACCTGGCGGACACCCCTACCCCCAACCCTGGCTGAGATTTCAAGCTCTTCGGCAGCAGCTGAGGAATTCCCTGCGAGGGTGTTACAGCAAACAGAATCTCTTGATCTGAGGTGTCTCTGCAAATATCCTGCTATTATGGGATGAAGCCCGGCGACCACACGCAGCAGGATCTCCCTCGGACCCCGTCCTCTCTTGTTTTTGATCTGCTTTTTCTCGGTTGAGAGGGGAAAAGAGAGAAGCGCCGCTGTACGACATACAGATAAGATTCCAGCTGGGAGTTGTTTGGTTGCCATTGCTGATGATCTTTCTCCCAACCACTGCAGCAGTACTCGGATAGGATATCGTTCACCGAGGATAATGTTTTTGAATCTGAAGAATGTAAACATTGCAAAAATATCTTTCGATCACACACTTGGCTGCTACTTTAATGAAAATTCCAGCACCAAAGCATGGTGTCCCCTTTTTTATTTTCATTTCAACACTGACTGTACGTGACATCACAAATACATTCAGAAGCATATGGGGGTGTTACCAGTGGGGTCACATTGCCGGCTCACTGCTTTCCTTGTCCGCTCAGAGGCAAGAGGCACTTAGAAACTAATACATGTTCACATATACAAACCGGTATGACAATAGCTTCAAATTTGTGTTCAGTTTTCCCAGGTCAAAATTGGCTTGCAATGTCAGAAGTGGTCTAAAAAGATTCTTTGGTTGCAAAGGTGCAAGGTGGACATAGTTGACCAGTGAAGAGGCAACTGACTTCAGTTCAGGGAGGCCAAGTACTTGTTCAGGAGCCTCTCACACACACACATGCACACACACCTCTGATTTCAGCCTGAATGTCTGTGCGTGTGTGTGAGTGTTAACTTGCACTAAGCAGACCGCCCATAAAAGCTTTGCTGGAGTTAGCTGTCGGCTCGAGGACGGCGATGCAGCCGTTCGGTCGGCAGCCTAATTGGTTTGTGACAGATTCGATCAGTCTCCGTGACAGTTGTGCTGCTCGCTTCGAGGCTAGGCACAAATTTGCATTCAGCCGTCGCTTTCAATATACCCAAAATTAGCTGCTTACAAACACTTCCTCTTCCCCCCCAACCCCTTCCCCACAACCCCGCTTGGCCTCGGTGGGACGAGGCGAGGTCGGCGTTTGAAAACAAATGTGTAATATTCACGCTGAAAACACGGCAGCTGTTCTGGATGTGTCATTCATACTTTATGTATGAACTAAAACAGAAGCTTTGATGCAAAACATTTAAACGGCGGACTCTCTTGTGTCAGCCGTCGAAACACGCCAGACAGATCTGAGGCCATAATGGTTGCGCTCACTCCTGTTTAAAGAAATCAGACTTTTGCCCTCCTCCTTTCCATTCGGGTCGACTCAGTTACAGGGCAGCCATGTGGAGTACGCGGGCTGCTGGCAGGCAAACACCGGCTGCACCTGCGCTATGTAGTAGTTACTGAAGTTACCGTCTGCCACATACGGAGCAGGCTGGTAGTAACACGTCACATTAGCCACGTTGGGGATGATGTTCTGCTCTGCGAGGACTCGCACCGCCAGCATGGCTATGAGCCCGAGGGTCTGCCTCCTCTCGTGTCCCATCAGGCACACGGTGCTCTCGTTGACCACTCCGTGGAGGGTCATCAGGTAGTCGTACTTGCGGTCCTCCAGCCCTACAAAGTGGTTCTGAAGGTAGGACTCCAGCTTGCGCTGCTGCTCACCAATGTCGGGGAAGTCAATGAAGAAGCGAGAGCACATGTAGCGCTGCAGAGACTTCATCTCGGACTCCGACGCTGGCCGGAAGCCCCTCACCAGCAGGTGACAGTACTTGAGGAGGCCCCCGCCTCGGATCTCCTCTGGGTTCCTGGTGCAGATGATCTTGTGGCGTAGGTGGTCCAGGGCCTCGCCGAAGTCGCCGTAGACGCTCTCGCCCACGATGGTGGGGTGGAAGGTCTCGGACATGGGGTTTTCCGAGCACTCGTAGAACAGGAGCAAGGAGTCCAGTTTGATCTGGAAGGAGTCCACGCTGAACTCAAACTGCCGCCGGAGGGAATCCACGAACTTCAGCTCCACGTTCTTCCCCCGGTTGTTGGAGAGAGAGATGAGGCTCCAGCGGTCCGAGTCGTTGTTCACCTTCACCATCTTTTGCACGTAGGCTTCCTGAGGTTGAGAGAGGCGACATTAACACATAAACAATCTACAAGACGAGCACGTTTGAGTTTTAATTACACAACAGTAGGCAGTGTTTTAATGTTAGACATGTAACTATGACGTGTTTTTTATTGAATTAAAAACCTTTCAAAGACATTACAGTCTGGAAAGCCTAAGAGGGAGATCCCTTCTAAATTGGTTTATCTCTATCCTCTTAACCCCCTTTGTTTTACTATCACTTAAAACCACTAACTGCACTTTAAAGCCTCTGTGAAATCGATCCTAATAAACCAACAAACCAACAGGACAGCACTTTTTCCAAACTATTTTCTGCTGTTTGGTGCAAACCGATACTTAGATAAGACAAACTCTACCTCCTAAAAACCAGCTTGCACAGACTGTTTTTGTCTTCTTTCTGTTTTTTCTCTCTCTCTCTCTTGTTTTTATTTTTTTTATTTTTTTTTTTGTCTCAAGCAATGTTCCTCTTTCAGATCTGTATGAGCAAGCACAAATTTGAAGGCAAAAATGTGTGAGGCGGCCAATCAACTCCTTCTTAAGCCTTTAATGATGGCACTGACCCAAATAAAAACAGTGCAGAGCAGCTTTCTTTGCCTCAGCAGTTTTTTGGGTTTTTTGTTTGTTTTTTTGTTTTTTAGTAAAATCCCTGCCAACCTATCCGCGCTCTTATTGTCAGCGTGCAGCATCTTCTAAAAGCAGGCAGCAAAGACAAAGTGAAGACAAAGTGGCGAGTGGTACCTTCAGAGTCAACGGGGTTATTTTCTCTTTGTTCACACAGTCGGGCAAAAAATCCAGGAGGCAATCCAAAACGATGTCCTTCACAGTCTGGAACTCGCTCTCGCCTTTCATGTCCGCGCAGAATATGAGGTCCAGGTCCTTGTAGCCGAGCCCGCTGTCCTCGTGCAGGACGTGGCTGGCCGCGGAGCCGTTCAGCCGGACGTCCCGCACGCGGATCTGCCTCTCCTCCATCCGGCTCCGCACCACCTTGACGATCTGCCGCGGCTGCATCTCCAGCGTGGGGAAGTTGCCGCGGCCGTGGATCGGGATGGTCTCCGTGAGGATGGCGTCCAGCCGCTGCACTTGCTCCCAGCCGAGGACGCTGACGCTGCTGGCGTCCGCGCCGCGCGCCCCCCGCCGGCGCGGGCCGGTCGTCCTCGACGGACGTGCTGGAAAAAAAAAAAAAAAAAAAACTCCTCAACGATAGGAGAGAGGAGAGAGGGGGGGGAAAAAGCAAAAATGAAAAAGTTTTCTCAAGAATTGGTAAAAAAAAAAAGTCTTTAGGCTTTAAGACGTGCAAATAAAGATGCTGGTAATAGAAATTGCATCGACGCAACTCGGACTGTTCCGTGAAGGAGTGTAATCATCTATGACTATATGGGGAAATATATAATATATACTAAGAACCAACTGTTGATGGTGATGGCTGCTGCGGCAAGTTTCCAGTAGTGATCCAGTCGAGACAGAAGAACCGCTGCACGGACTTCTGGGAGAACAGCAGCCGGTCCGGAGGAGAAACAAAGCAAGAATGACAGAAAGGAAAGAAAGGAAAGAAAGAGGCGACCTCCTGCTTTTAGATCACTCGCCCCGGTGTGGCCGTCACTGCGTCCGCGCGCCGCGCTTCACAGTCTTTGAAGGTCGGGGATGATCCAACTGGGGGGGCTTTGCCTTTCCGGGCTGTGACTCCATCGCCCGAAGGCCCGCCTATGATTTCACGAATTTGCATGAATAAAAGCGTCTCTCTTTTCTTTCCTTTCTTTTTCGTTTGTCTTTGTGTTTCTGGCCCCTTCCGCCCCTAAGAGGAACCTTTTTGGATCTTTACGCGCAGCTCGTGCATCATTTTAATGTCTCTCTCCGCGCGCGGCCCAACCGCTGGCCAGGAAATGATCCCTTTAATACCAGCTCGTGTCCTGCTGCAGTCTGCTTTCCTGTGGACTTTGTTCGGTTGAACTTCTTGTTTTTGAGGGGGGATTTGGGGTGTTTTTCGCCGGTCCCGGTCCCAGTTGACGCGCGGCAGCGCGCTGGAGGAGCCGCTCTGAAAAGTCTGGAGGATGTCAGCAGCGCGAGCAGCTGCGGCCCCTTTAATGCGCTTTATTAGCGCGTCCAGCCGCGCGCTCATATGGAGGTGCGCGTTATAGTGGCGCTGATGCAAATAATAATAATTATTATTATTCAATAAAATGTACTTTCAAAGTCGGATATGATTTTCCAGGGTCATTATTGTTTTTGTTGTTGTTTTTTTAAACTGTCTGTCGAACTGGTAAAAACAAAAAATAATAGGCTAATCAGGACTCTAAATATTAAGAGCCTTTTCTAATCTCCCGATCGCCTGTTTGCCTCTTCTGCAGCTCATCTCGCGACCTTTTGTCGCCCCCTGTTGGCTTGTTTTGGTCTTGAATTCATGAAACTCAACCCAAGAGATTCTGTAGGACAGATACAGCCAGATGCACCGGATAGAAAAAAACAAAAACAAAACATAAATACATCATTTTCATGCCAGGGTCACAGCATATTGCAGTTGAAGTGGTTTGCCGGCTCCTAAAATGATTTTTCACGCCAAGAGCAAAGAAACAGACGACAGAATCTGCTGTGCCGGTGTTTATTAAGCCAAAATGGAAAAGCCATCTGGGAAAAAGCAGCTTCTGCTCAAGTCAATTTGATTAAAAGATCCCAAATAAGTCTAAATGCAGTCGACTCTGCGACATGCGGACATCACGTCGCATCAGCCATTAGCAGTGATAAATTGTGTTTTTTCCGTCGCCGACCAACAGGTGAAAATCCCAGCTGCATTTGAAGGACACAGAAGCATCAGTTCCAGTGATGGCTACAATCTAACTATTTCATTTCAAACACAAATTTCACTGAGTCAACGCAACCTTAACAGACAGTCAGACATGAGGAATGACTGGCTTGAATTGCCACCATTTGAGAACCTCTCCACATAAGAGTGAAAAGTGAGGCCATCTTCTTGTCAGATCTCACCAGGAGGAAAATAATCCCTGAAAAAGCAACAAATCTGTGACCAAACTGCTGAAAAGGATGATGGTTTTGAAGGCCTTTTGAAGTGAAGACTTTAACCCAATAAAAACGGTGTGAGACCTTCAGACAGCTTTGCAGAAATAAAAGCATGCAGTTCGTCAGTTGTTCAGTCCTTAAGTGCCATCAAGTGTTTTCTGATTAGCGAAAGCTATCCAAGCCAAGCTTACCCCTACGTGGAAAAACCAAAACATAACTGTCCCACCATCGGCAGAGTGAAAATGTCATTAAACTCAAAACAGTGGAGGAGATTTGCCCCGTTCTTTGAGGAATCATTTTAATTTTAGCCACATTGAAAGGTTTTAAAAAACATTCATGGACTATTTCTGGCACGTGTGTCAAACTCAAGATCTGGATTTGGCTTTTTCTTCAGGACCTCTACACTCCTGATTCTAAATTATATACATCAGTCCCTTCAGCTCTTCGTAATTCCGCAATGATCAATAGTACTCTGAACTTTTTTTGCACTAACTGAGTTCACTGCAAATTTTTTGCAAAAGTGACCAAAAAAAAAAAAAAAAAAAAACTGGAAAGAGGTGTTTGCTAACTCCCACTTGCAGGCAGCAGTACTCTTTTCTTCGATTTTGGCACCGCTGCCTCAGCCTTGCTTGATGTCAAGTTAAAGTCCGTGATCAGTAAAGCGAGTGACAAAAAGTCACGTTTGACGTCATATGTAAGCGTAGCTGTTGCAAAATTTCTTACAATTATTTTTAAATCAGCAACACAAAAGCTGTGATTTGGAAAAATAAAACAAATCAATTGAGAAATTCGAAAGGGACCGCTCAATGTGGAAAGATAATCAATATTATTTAATTTTAAGAAGTACGTATTGAACACAGTGACAGATATTTATTAATATTTGAACAGATTGTTAAAGGGTTTCATCAGTTCATTCTGGCAAACTTGTGAATATTTCTGGTCTTGACAGCCCAAGCTTTGACTGGGCCACTACAAAACCTTCACGGCTCCCACCTTCGAATCAGATGTGGACTTGCTGTTAAACCCAGTCGACAATCAAACTTGAGGGACCGCTTAACGTCCCAAACTGATGGTCAGCCAAACCACTTTCACTGTTTTATATTCTAGAGAACATAATTCATGGTTTTACCTCATTGCTGTAACTCACTCAAGACTCAAAGCAGCAAAGCAGAACCAAACCAACAGATTATTACCTCCATGTTTGACTGTTCATACATTATTTCCTTAAACTGCTTCGACAGTTTTACTCCAAACATAACAGAACAGACACTTTCCAAAAAGTTATGCTTTCAATTCATCAATGTGTAGAAAATCTCAGGAATCATCGGCATTGTTTTTTGGGGGGGTAAATGTGAGACAGGCTTTTGTGTCATTTTTAGGTTTATCATTTGAATTTACAACCAAAAAATCCTATTTTGGCCACTCTTCTTTCTAATTGCCGAAAGAAAATTTCAACAATGATTCAATGATTCCCGCTTCTTTTTTTGCGACCTCCTTTAGAGTCATCGATACTCTCTCAAAGACGGTTTTGCAACCCAAGTGAAAATGCCATTAACTTTCTCATTTCTTCTTGATTCTTTTTAGATGGATTGTTGTATTTTGAAATCTTTGAGCTTACATAGTGTTGCCAGGCAAGTTTTACTCAGGCGACAGTCTTTTTTTCTCAGGTCCGTCGCCAAGCAGATTGACGAGGTGAAAGAGTCTTCCTCTCATGAAGATCTGTAATCTTTTGTTTTATTTTTCTAAGCCTTAACTTGGCTCGCGAAGGACGAAAACAGCTCCCTGAAACCGAATCCCACATCTGGAAATATACGTGGAACTAGTTACAGTGGACCCGAAGCAGACTCAACGATGCGTTTCCCAGGTGCGGAGGCTCGGCTGCTTACGGATTGGATCGGCCCCCACAGCCACACCGTCACTTCAGAGCCAAAACAAAAAGTCACTGTTAGAGACACTGAACAGCAGGTACACACACACACACACACACACACACACACACACACGTTTGAATGGCTGTCTTTGTGGGGACTTTCCATTGACTTACAATCATTTCTACAGCCTGAACCTTACCCTTATCCTAATCCTAACCCTAACCAAAACTCAATTCACACCTTAGTCCTAAATGTAGCTGCTGAGCCAAAAACACTTTGGTCCCCACAAGGAGCAGTGGGTCCCCAGAAGGTATTACAAACAAACACATACACACACTCACAGCACCACTGATGAGATGTTTTATGTAAATACGACTTGGCACCTCATTACTCATCGTGAAGTGGAGGTCTTCACGTATTGCAGATGGAAATGAGTCGATGACAACGACGATGATGATGACGTCTGGAAATCAAATCGAATTCCCACCTCCACTCTTTCTCTCTCTCCCTCTCTGCTCATGTCTTTCTCAAGCAAATGAGTTTGTGTTTTTCGACAAGAAAAGGAAAGAATAGAAAAAGAGACAACTTTCCAAAGCCAAACCCTGCTTTTGTTGCCCTTTTTGCAGAGGGGCGAATCCAACTCCCCGAAAAGCAATCTTTTACAGTCGCACAAAGTTTCTCCCTGGAGTCCACGAAACATTGTCTGGACAGCTGAGCCCGGTAAGGAGAAAAGGAGGAAAGAGTCTCTTGGCCTCCCAACATCGTTTATCTTCCTGTATGAGTCACAGTTATTGACCATAAAGTTTCTGTTTGCTGTTTCCTTTGAAGTCCCCCACCCCCTGACCGGATCTGTGTGCCACTTTTGATAAAATATAAAAATCTTTTTGATCACTTTAAAAAAAAAAATTAAAATCCAAGAGTTGCTTTTTGAGATGAGCTGGAGTGTTTAAGAGTTGAACACAAACAGGCCATGTTTCCCTCTTGCTTTAAGCTGCAGATTAAATACAGTGTCTGATTCTAGTTACACAGAGAACTGGAAAATATTCATTCAAATGAAATAAATCGGTACCTTCAAGTTTTTGTCTCACACTATCTAAAATTCACACAAAAATCAATAGTACTCCGAACTTTCTAATTTATTTATTTTTGCACTAGTACAAAACTGAGTTCATTGCAAATTTCTTTTTAGCAAAATTGCCAAAAACAAAAATAAAAAACAACAACAAAACTAGATTGAGGTCACTGCTAACTCCCACCTGCAGGTGGAAGTATTTCTTCCATGGCACGGTGGCCTCAGCCTTACTTGAAGCCAATTTAAGTCCGTGATCGACATGGCAAGTGACTAAAAGTCACATTTAACGTCATATCTAAGCGCAAAAATTGCGAAATTTTTTGCAAACATTTCCAAATTAGCAACACAAAATCTGTGGGTTTGATTGCAAAAAAATGAAAAGATTTAAAAAACTGAGAAGTCCCAAAGGGACTGATCAATGCTCAAAGATGCTCAGAGATTGTATTATGTAACAAAATGTTACATAGCATCACCTTCCAAAAATACGCCAAGCCCTTTTTTTTTTTGCCAAGAGTGATAAAAAATAAATAAAATAAAATAAATAAAAATGATTGACATACACTACCGTTCAAAAGTTTGGGGTCACCCCATTCAGTACTGTAGCTTCTGTGAGGAGCTAAAACTGTTTTCAGATGTGTGCACATGGTTGCACAAGAGTTTTTGAAACATCAATTAGCCTTCTGAGCCAATGAGCAATCACATTGTACCATTAGAACACTGGAGTGATAGTTGCTGGAAATGGGCCTCTATACACCTATGTAGATATTGAACCAAAAACCAGACATTTTTAGCTAGAATAGTCATTTACCACATTAGCAATGTATAGTGTATTTCTTTAAGGTTAGGACTGGTTTAGTTATTTTCATTGACAAGTACAGTGCTTTTAGTGACATTTCAATGTCACCCCAAACTTTTGAACGGTAGTTTAAGTGGAAAAAAAATCACTTTTGGCAAAAAATGACAGACTATATTTTAGGAAGGTGGCCATATTTATTGTATTTTACTGGGGTAGAGCATAATTGTGAAGTTGATGGAAAATATATTTTTCAACATTTTATACAAATAAACGGTACGGCTTTGCAGCAATAAAAAAAAAATCAGTTTTGTTCTCGTCTGACTAAAACACGCTCAGCCACATGTTTTTGCTTGTAACAAACTGCA